CATGGCCCACGTTCGTCTTCAGAGCCAGCCACGGCAGCCAGTCCTGGTGCCGGGGCCTCCCTCCGGCCTTCTGCGAAGTCACATGTCCCGCTCCCGCCCTGAACACCCTGTGACCCCAGGGCGCACCGGGATAATCCAGGGTAATCTCCGGCTTCAGGGTCAGCTGCCTAGCAACCGAAATTCCATGTGCAACCTCGTTTCCCCTTCGTGGGGGTAGCAGAACCTGGACGCAGTTCCTAGGGTGGGGGCATGCCCGTCTTCGGGGACCCTGTTCTGCCCGCCTCAATCGCTGTCACGTTACTTTTCGCTGACGACCAGTGTCCCAGAACTCGCATGCGTCCATTTCAGCGCAGATGCGCGGGTGGGCGGCTTCCAGCCGCGGGTGTTCCTCGTGCCAGGCTTCGCGTGGGCATCCGGTTTTGACTCTCCTGGGTGGACATCCGGGAGCGCAGGGTCGTGTGGGAGAGGCGGGGAGTTTGTGGAGACACGTCCACATGGTGTCTGCTCTCCACTCACACCAGGGTGTGTGGGGACCCCAGCTGCTCCACACCCTCCTCGGGGCCCTGGTTCCAGGGTTAGCTGCGCCAGTAGGAGTCTCGTGGCCTCTCGATGTGCATTTCTTCTGCGTTTCCCGAATGATTTATGAATTTGAGCACCTTTTCCCGTGCTCATTGGCCACTTGTGAATCTCCGTGGAGTGTGCCTTAAACCTTTCTCCCATTTCTCTGTTGGGTCCTGTTTGTCTTATCATCAGGTGGGGAAAGTTTTTTACATATTCTAGCTCTACAGCCTTCACTTTTTTGCAAAAACTCGATGTTTTGCAAATATTTTCCCCCAGCTGGTGGTACGTGTTTGCGTTCTTTTGACAGCGTCTTTCAAAGAGAAGTTTAAAAAAAAATTTTTTTTTGATGACGTCAAATTTATTGATTTTTTTATACTGTTTTTTGGAGTGCCGAATTTAATAAATCTTTGCATGACTCAAGGCCAGTATGATTTTCATCTGTGCTTTCTTCCAGAAGCTTTATAGTGGGATCTCTGACATTAGGTCTCGCCTCCCTTCTGAATGAACTCTTGTCTACAATGCCAGGTAAGGGTTATGTTCCTTTCTACGACTACACAGTTGTTCCAACACCTTCTGTTTAAAAAGTAATCCTTTCTCCGTGGATTTGCTTTGGCAACTTGGCCGAAAACCAGTCGACCAACATGTGTGGGTCCAGTCTGGACGCTGTTCCGACGCTCACGGTCTGGGCTTTAATGGAGCTCGGACACGAGGTTCCACGTCAGCTCCCTGAGTCCCCAGTGTTCTTCTGCAACGTGATTTTAGCCACCTTACATCCTTGCATTTTTTTTTAAAGATTTTATTTATTTATTTGACAGAGAGAGAGACACAGCAAGAGAGGGAACACAAGCAGGGGGAGTGGGAGAGGGAGAAGCAGGCTTCCCGCCGAGCAGGGAGCCGGATGCGGGACTCGATCCCAGGACCCTGAGATCATGACCTGAGCCGAAGGCAGACGCTTAACGACTGAGCCACCCAGGCGCCCCCAAATCCAATGAATTTTTAAAATTAATTTATTTTTGTAAATTCCAGTATAGTGATTCGCCAATTCTATGCATCACTTCTCAGCGCTCGTCAGGACGAGTGCACACCCTCATTCCCATCCCCTGTCCCCCCGGCCCCCCTCCGCCGACCCCTCTCCTGTCCCCTGCCCTCCTACCTCCCCATATCCTGTCCCCTCCGCTGTCCGCCATCCCCCGCCTCCCCCGTCCCCTATCCCTCATCCCCTCCCTTGTCTCGTTTCTTTGCTCGTTTGTTTTGTTTCTTAGATTCCGCACATGAGTGAAATCATACGGTATTTCCCTTTCTGACTTATTTCCCTCAGCACTACACCCTCTAGGTCCATCCATGTTAAAGGTGATTTTATGTATTTCTATGCTGTGTTTCCATTTTCGATCTGCTTGAAACGCTCTCTAATTTTCCTCTTGAGTTCTCTGATGCACATTACTTAATTTCTATATTGTTCTCGTTTACCATTTGCTGCATGGCCAGTTACATATGTGGTGGCTTCCAGCAACACCCCCTTCTCTCCGCTGGTCCCAGGGGCCAGGATCCGGCTAGGCAGCGCTGAAGCTGGGGTACTGGTGGCCTGGCCCCCAGCTGGAGCCCAGGGTCCTCTCTGCTCATGCCTGTCGCTGGCTGAACTCAGGCCGTTGCAGCTGGAGGACTGACGACCGTGCCTCCCGGTTGGCCCTGAACACCTGGCACTATTCTCAGCTCCCTGAGGCCCCTCTCAGGTCCTCGCTCCTCCGCTCCCGTAATGACCAACCTCTTCTCTCTCCTGCTTCAGATCTCTGCCTTGGAACTCTCTGATGGCGTTGGGCCCCGCCCCAAAAATCTCCCTATCTTAAAGCCAACTGAATAGTAACCTTAATTACATATGCAAAACTCCCTTTGTCCAGTTAACATAAAAGAGTAACACCGGAGGGCACAGGTCATGAGTCCATCTTAGAATTCTGCTCGCCACCCAGGGATTTTCCACATACTGTTCTCTTTGACGTTCAAATTCAGTTTTATTGTGGCCTCACTCTGTATGATTTGAATCCTTTTAAATTTACTAAGAATAGTTTTATGGCCCCAAATATGGTTTACCTTGGTAAATGCTTCATGTGTACTTGAAAAGAATGTGAATTCTGCTGTTTTCAGGGTGGGGTGTTTTATAAATGTCAGTTATGTTGGTTGGATTGGCAGTGGTAATCAACTCTTCACTGCCTTCCTGACTTTCTACTTACTTCTCTCAATTATTGACAGAGAGTTGCTGAAATCTCCTCATGTAATTGTGGATTTGGGGGCGCCTGGGTGGCTCAGTCGGTTAAGCATCTGCCTTTGGTTCAGGTCTTGATGCTGGGATCCTGGGATTAAGCCCCGAGTCAGGCTCCGGCTCATCGGGGAGTCCGCTTCTCCCTCTCCCTCTGCCCCTGCCCCCTGCTTGTGCGCACTCACGCGCTCTCTCTCTTTCAAATAAATAAATAAAATCTTAAAAAAAATAATTGGATTTGTCTATTTCTCCTTACAGCGCCAATAATTTTTGTTTCCCTGGTGGGAGACAGCTCTGTTTCTGTTCTCGTTTTTATTTCCTTAGAAGGTTTTGACATGGAGGCCGCAACTATTTCTGGAGCAGTGAAGCCAGTTTTTGCTTGGTTCTGTGTTGCGATCTAATTGCGACTTGTAGCAGAAGAACACACAGACGTGAGCTCTTGTAGATAAAGTAGAAGGAAGATTGTTCCGGCAGGTGATAGTGTGTTTCTGATACACATCGGGGAGACCATTCCTGCCGAGATGAAGCAGCAGGGACCAGGTTCACCCTCCATCCTGAAACCAACCAAGTTTCTAAAAATATGGGGAAAAATTGTTTCTCAGGCATTGGATGCCTGGCAATTGCAGGGCAGGGGTCCTTGAGAGAGGAAACCAACATGTGAGAACAAAAGTTGCACCAGCCACCTGCCTGGAGAGAGCTTTCAGGATCCAGGCATTCCCTTTGTGCTCAGAGAGGTTTTAACCTGCCAGTAGGCAGCCCCTGATGCAGGTGCTGCGTTCCTGGGCCCCAGGTTCACCTCCTGGTGTACCTCCACCCCCCAACATGGACCCAGGACACCCTTGAGCCTACAGGAAGGTGAGTGTGTGGGGGGGTCACATCTCTGCCTTTGGGCACTAGATCTGAATTAGTTTGAAATCTCTAGAACCAGAGCAGGACTTCAAGGGCCCTGCTCTCAATCCAGGTGGCACTGGGAGCTATAAGCAAAACTGACCTGGTCACAGGTCAATATGGACACTAGACTTATAGACAATTCAATATGGACACTAGACTTATAGACAAAAGGGAGCAAGGACATCAGCATGGCCCGCCATGAGCTGCTGATGGGAGTTTCTACCAGACCCCGCTTAGAGATCTGGAGGGAAATAATACACAGTTCCTGATACCCGTTTCTTTATATTTTGTGTGTTTTGAGTGAGAACAAGTTTTGCTGATGGATACAGAGTGGGATATGAAGCAAGGAGGGGTTAAGGTGTATGGCCCGAGCCCCCAAGGGAGCAGGGCTTCTCTTTGCAGAGCTGGGCACATCAGAGGAAGGAGGAGGCTGGGGATGGGAGCATGTAGGGCTTGAGGGTGGGGCACCCACGCCGTGAAGCTGAGAGTTGGATTCAGGAGTTCAGGCTAGAGGTCTGTGGATACATGGAATTTAAGGCACGGGAATCACTAATCTCCCTGGGGATGGAGCACACCCAAAGGAGAGACAGGGTGGAGGCTGAGGTCATGAGGCATTTCAAACTGGGGGAAGATGGAGTGTTGAAGAAAGTGGCAACGGAACCATTATTTCACAGCCAGGAGAAGGTGTGTGCCTCATCTCCTCAAAAACCCATCCCAGATAGATCGATGGTTGAACAGTAAAGAATGGGGGGCGCCTGGGGGGCTCAGTCGTTAAGCGTCTGCCTTCGGCTCAGGTCACGATCCCAGAGTCCTGGGATCGAGCCCCGCGTCGGGCTCTCTGCTCGGCGGGAAGCCTGCTTCTCCCTCTCCCATTCCCCTTGCTTGTGTTCCCTCTCTCGCTGTCTCTCTCTCTCTCTCTCTGTCAAATAAATAAATAAAATCTTTAAAAAAAAACCCAGCGAAGGTGGAGCTCTACAAGGAGCAGCGCAGACAATGATGGCAGCAGAGTGGAGTGAATGAGAAGAGTCTCTGGAGGTTGAGGGTCAGGGTCCCAACTGGCTGGGCCAGGTGTGACCTCTGTGACCCTGTGAAGGTCACGAGCCTCCATGCCTCCCATTACTCATCTGCACAATGGAATAAAGGTAGGGTTACCTCCCAGAATAAAAGGCCGGGCCCAGATGAGTCACTGGATATGAGCTGGCCATCATCGTCCTCATTACTGTTTTTATGTTTTGTGGCTTTAGTGTCTCAGAGGCGGGGGACAGCCTTTCTAAGTGTGACACTAAACCCAGAAGCCAAAACCCTGAAAGACTCATGAATTTGGTTACATACATTTGTTCTTTTATGTTTAATTAGGTTAAAAAATTGTTGAGTGTTTCATTAAGTAAAAACCTAAATGGGCAAAGTCAAAAGGGCACTGACAAACTCGGAATGAGTTACGATCACAGAAGTTTCGTTTCCCTAATATACAAGGAGCGCCTATAAATAATTTTCTTAAAAAGAATCCAATGGAAACGTTGACAACCAAGATAAGCAAAAATTCAGAGGAAAGGAAATACAGTTGGCCTAAATATATGGAGACAATAAAAGAAATGTGGATGAGAACACAGAGATACCATCAGTTTCTTATCAGATGAGAACAAAGCCAAACAAACAAAGGCTTTAACGTGCACACAGGTCTATAAAACAAGAGAATGGGGCAAAAAGTCCCGGGTGCTTTGCTGGAGGGAATATAAATCAAAACAACTTCTGCAAAGGCAATTTGATAAAATGCAGTGAATTTGAGGCGTACATAACCTTTGACACAGCAGGTCGCATTCCGGGATTTCTCACGCAGACATCCTTGCACACATGCGTGCTAGCAGGGGTCCATCAGACCTGGATGTCCATCCCTGGAGGGCTGGTCAAGTATGTATGGAACACCCATGCCATGCGGCACACGTAACTACAACAGAAATAAGAATAAGAAGGGTCCTTATATACACTCGGAATGATCTGAGACATTTGTTAAGCAAAACCAAAAAATACGGCACAGAATAATTGGTACGGTATGCATAGAAAAGAGGAGTCCCAATCATATTTTTTAATGTTCCTTTACTGTACAGGATATCTCAGGATGGACACAAATGCATCTGGGGACACAGGAGTCTTCTGGGAGGAAGGGGGTCTGGGGAGGTAGAGAGGGGAAGCTGTCCATCAAGAGTTTTGACTGTACACCCCTCTGAGTTTAGAGCCATGTGAACACATTACTTAGTCAAAAACAATAAATTGAATTCTAAACATGTTTCAAGAAAATCCGTTAACAGAAAAAGAAGGAAAACCATGTGATCATCTTATAGGCTGTGGAGATTTTCCTTATAAAATTCAACATCTGATCATCATTTTTTTAAACGAATATCATAGCCAATTAGAAACCGAAGGGAATTTCTTTAGCTTGATAACAATTAGCTACGGCAAATACTATATGATGAAATACTAAAAGTGTCTTTTCCAAATCAAAGATATAACAAGAATGCCCACGGTCACGGTTTGTTCTTTAGCATTAGCAGAAAGCCTGGACAGCCTATAGACTAACCAAATCAATCTAAGGAAGGAAGGAAAAGGATAAGGATGTGAGAAGAAAATTCTTATCAATTTCAGATGATGTCACTACTAAAACTCAGAGAATCTACAGGAAAAAAAATTAATAAGGGAATTTAGCAAGACTCCTGGATAAAAGATCAATATACAACAACCACAAAAATGAAATGCCTTTGTACAAACTAGGAGCATCAGAACATATACTTAAAAATTACACGCATCATTTACAATAGTAAAAAAAAAAGGTACCTGACAAACATGTTTATGATATTTGTGGAAATAATTATAAACACTGTGTCGAAGGATTGAAAGGAAACTAAATTAGTGGAGGGATAGACCTCTGCTCCCCGAGGGCTTAACTCTCTGCAGACTCATCTGTAACCTGCCTAATTCTGTTCAGTTTCAGGACAGTTTCCCATTAGACTAGACAACCTGGTTCTAAAATTTATATGTAAGAACGGTGTTGTCAAGAATTACCTTGTATTTAGTAACTGGAGAGAGACAGAGACAGAGAGAGTGTGAGGTGGGGACCTGTTCCTTGATTTTCTTTCCTCTTTCTGGTGCGTTCTACCTCTGATTTCACGTCTTCCGAGCTGTAGGTACACTCGGGTTTTATTGTTCTTGGACTGGCCTAATGTTCTTTTTCTGGGAAGTTGTTCATCCCAAATACAACTTCAAATTGCTTTGTATGCAGTTGTTGATAGCGTATTTTGAAAAATTTTGGATGCACCTGTATTTGTCTCCTTTTCACTGTTGATATTGTAGGTTTATCCTCTCCCATCTCTCTCCATCTCTCTCTCTCCATCTCTCTCTCTCTCTCCATTTCTCTCTCTATGTCTTTTTCTCCATCTCTCTCCCTCCATTTCTCTCTCTCGGGTCTTGTGAGCGCTTCTGATACGTCTTTGTTTTCAATGTCATTAATTCCTACTGCATTTTTAAAAATTTTTTTTTTAAAGATTTTATTTATTTATTCATGAGAGACAGAGACAGAGACAGAGAGGCAGAGGGAGAAGCAGGCTCCCAAGGAGCAGGAAGCCCGATGCGGGACTCGATCCCAGGACCCTGAGATCATGACCTGAGCCGAAGGCAGACGCTTAACCATCTGAGCCACCCAGGCGCCCCCCTACTGCATTTTTAAAAATGTGTTTCTCTTAAATTCTGGGAAGGTGGTTATTCACTGTCTTCTCCTTCATATGCACTGTGGCCACCCCTCTGATCTCAGCCCGGTGTCCTTTCCAGTGGAGAGATCCTGGTTTTCCGAGCACAGCGCCGGCTGCGTTACTGAGGCTCTGCTTCACAGCTTTTCTTGTTTTCATAATTGCTTTGTGCCAAGCTCTATCTAATTTCCATTATGAGTTATTCTTTGCTCTCCAGCTATTTTAGAATGTCTATTTTTTTCAGGCTCAAAAAGGCATCTTATATGCTCTTGTTGCTTTATTTTTCTAACTTCCTTGTAATACGATCAGAGACTGGGGTCAATGTGATGCAAATTCACTGACATATGCGAGATGGACTCTGTGGGCTCACCTGTCATCAGGTGTCACAAATGTGTGCCTGTGGAGAATGCTGATTCTCTAACTGTCGGATACAGGGCACTACATCGGTCTGTTAGACCGCGCTTGTCAACTGTGTTGTTGAATCCTCCAAGCAGCCTGGGTTCCAGAAACTGCAAGTAGCTTGTATCAGACTAGCTCTCCGTAGACAAAATATACATCTTTTTGACTTCCTAGAGGAACTTGGCAGAGCTACAAGCAGGCAGAAGCCTGATGGGATTCAATGTAAGGGCAAACCCTGGGGGCTGTGATCCTGAGGGTCTCCAGCCCGGGCAGCAGGGCGGCCTCAGTGCGAGCAGCAGGCTCCATCTTGGTGGGCTCAAGGGCCAGAGGGCAGAGTTTGGGGTGAGGGAGGAAATCCCAGGTAGGGAAGGGCCACAGAGAGGGGAACAATCTGCATTGACTTACTCCAGATCCGGGGCTCCTGACCCCTAAAGCAAGCGTGTGCAGGAGGAAATCCAGGAGCCTGGCTGAGAACAACAGCAGGAGCCTGAAAGAGCTCGGAGCTTTCAGAAGATGCTCACCAAAGCAGCACCAGAGTTAAAGTCTGAATCCCAGCACAGTAGAGACTCTGGTACACACCTCGGGCATCCATCAAAACCCCAGAAGGGCCCTGGCCTCAGAGCACAGACTGTGCCCCAAGATTAAGTCCCAGGACAGAGCGAGGTGTGAGACGAAGACTTTGCAAGGTCCAAATGTGTGGGTAGAAAGTAAATGGTCCGCTCCCTAAAGGCAATGCTAGAAATCGAGGGCGGATTTGAACTCGCAGATATGACAGATGAGCAGAAATGGACCAATTTCTAAAAACCCACAGACTACTCATATTCGACTGAGACAAAATACATCATCTGAATGTCCCTAAAACTACTGAAGAAATTAAACGTGCAATTTAAAACCCCCCGAGAAAGAAATCTCCAGGCCCTGGAAGAATTAGCACCAATGTTAACACAAAGTGTTCCAGAAAGTTGAAACTCATTCTGTGAAGCCAACTTTGTCCTGATACCAAAACTAAAGACAGTGCAAATCAGTTTCAAAACCTTCAGAAGATGTAAGTGTTAAGAATATTTTATTTGGGCCCAAATGGAAATTAGGAAAAAAAATTAAAAATACTTTAAGAAGCCTCCAAATATTTGATATTTGATAAAAAAAAATTATAAGGGAAATTAGAAAGCATTGGAGCTAAGTAAAAATGAAAGTAAAAACACGCCATCGTGGGATGCAGTTATTGCTTAGAAGGAAATGAATAGTTTAGAGGGACTATTTTAGCAAAGAACAAAGATTTAAAATACATTTCCACCTAACTTTAGTTGGAAAACTAAAACTGAGAGCAGATGCCGATAAAGTAAAAGGCAGAAGAATAATAGAGAAAAATTAACACACAGACGCAAAATCCCAGCTAAAGTAAGGGAGGAGAAGAAGGAAGCACAGTTTAGGGCCGTGGGATGAGGGGCTCTGGCGGCCCACGCGGCTCTCGCGTTCTTCCCAAGGAAGGCCGCAGAGCAAGCGGCCTAAGAAGGTCCTTAATGCCCCCGAGGGGCAGAAGGCGGACTGTCCAGAACAGCGGGCATAAGGTCTCCCTCCCGGGTGGGTGGGCTTGCTAGCAGCCCCTTATACCGTCTCGGGGTGTCCTAGATGGGGGGTGCTCAGCTGGGACGCAAACCCCCGGCCTTTATGAGCCTGTGTCAGCCGGGGAGGGGGAGGGCGAGATTTGAAGAAAATAAAAACCAAGATAAATGGAGAGACGGATGCACTTTGAGGGTCCGTTCCCTCCAGCCCCGTTTGCTGGGGAGGCACGAGCAGGGTGGCTGAGAGGGGCCCCCTCTGTTGCGGCCACGGGGTGGAAGAGGAAGTGGTGAGCCCAGGGAGCCCTGTCGCTGAGGCCGAAAGCAGCATTCCTCATAATCACGAAATGCTGTAAACAATCCCAGTGAACTGCGACGTGGGGACAGATAAATGCACGGAGACACGTCCACGTAACCGAAGAACAGGCTGGCAACACCGACCCGGCTGCCGCGTGGATGCGTCTCGGGTGCATCACGCCCCGGGGCGAAGACTGTTTCCTACAGTGGCCGGAACCGCTTTGCTGCCCAGCAGCCGTGCTCCACACCCTCGTCAACCTGTCCTCCTCACAGGTGCGATGTGTTCCTCGCTAGGCTCTGATCTGCACGTTCCCGATGGCTGATGATGCTGAGCATCTTTGCACTTGCTTGTTGGCCACGAGTGTGTCTTCTTCGCAGAAATGTCTACTGATGAGTGCAGGTTTAATCAGCATTCCCTGATTACACATGGGGGGAATATCTTTTTTATGCATTTACTGGCCATTTGAATTTCCATGCTTGTGGAGTGGTTGTTTAAACAGTTTGCCCATTCTCTATTGTGTTATCTGTTCTGTTTTCTTACTGATTTGTTGGGAGTTGACTGTACACCACGTCTTTGCTTTTAAATGTGTTCCAAACCCATTGTCCAATTTGTGGCTTTTCCTCGAACCCTGTTTTACGGTGCCTTTTGATGAATGGAACTTAGGGAGTTAGCTAGATTTAAAAATGCAGTAAAATACACCAATCTAGTTTCCTTTCAAATTTGGTTTAAGAAATCTTTTCCTGCCTTAGGTCGTGAAAATACCCTCCTGTAGTCTCTTTTAAATGTTTGGGACATTGATCCGCAGAAGGGGTTGTATATTTCTTTCTATGCACGTGGATATCCTCTTGTCCCAGCACCACGTTTTAGAGTCACTGGTCAGGGCCAGCGCTGCCCTATGTCCCTTGTTCAAACACATGCGGCCTGGCCTCTGGAGCTCCATTACACCCCGTTT